GACAGGGAGAGGGACGCCCACGCCCACGCACAGCCACACCCACACCCACACACCCACACACCCACACCCACACCCATCCACACCCATCACACCCATACCCACACCCACACCCACACCCACACCCACACCCACACCCATCCACACCCGTCACACCCATACCCACACCCACACCCACACCCACACCCACACCCCACACCCATTATTTATATGTCCGTGTGTGTTCATAACAAAACGGTGAATGAATAATTGTCACGATTTATCAATGATTTTTGAAAATCAGCTGTTCTCTCACAATTGCGATAAAATTCGATATAATTGCCGATCTTTTAAAGAAGTACGATAAATCACGATTTTACGCCAATTTTTCAGAAAATCATGAAAATCGCGGTGATTTTCACGACATGGGGTCGCATAAATTTCTCATCGTCTTTGATGGTTTCATTTACAATCAACTCACCTTCATTTTATCCCAGCCCGATCAATACCAGACTGGTCATTGCGTACCAAAATGGATCTTAATCTCACGTGACAGAAAATGGAGGATTATCTGTACTCATGATATTTCGATGAATCTATAGTAAAATAAATGCATCGAAAGAACCAATGAGTTTTATATCCGAGAAGTGTAGACTATATATTATAAATATCATAAACTATCAAAATTGAAATGAAAAGTAACGAATAGGTCATACAATTCTTTGGCCCAAAAGATTGCAGCAAATGATAAAATCTTGAGCCTTGTGCAGCTAATATCTCAGGACTTATTCAAGATAACCTTGTGACTTTTTTTGTGTGGTAGTAAGGACTTCTTAGTAGAACATATGGTGAAAAAATCACAAGGATTAATTAAGTAGAACTCGAGGTATTAAAATTTTATTTTCAAGAATACTACGGCACAATAAAGTTGCAATTAACACATATATAAAGTGGCGGAAAAAAGTTTAAGAACAAGAGTTTTTATTCTCATGCTCTATCAAGATGAAGCCTATTGGCACTCTAATACTTTTTATGGGTAGCAGTGATACATAGCTACTCAGGGCATATGAGAACACTACAAAAGTCTTTGTTCTTATTTCACAATAAATAGTTTATTTTTTTCACCAGCAGAAAAAAGCTTAAGAACAAAAAAAATCATCTATCAGCTTCTTGTTTAAAAAAGCGTTTGTTTGAGCTGACGACGATTGTCGAAGCTTGGCATAAATACTTTGATCTATTTTATGAAACATTACATATAATCAATGGGGGAAAAAGCAATTGATTCATATAAAAGAGCACAGGCTGCTGCTTTATACAATAACAGCACAACTCCAATGACAATGGACGAAGTGGCCAAAGAATTGCACATTTTCAAGACTTGTGTCTTCAATGCCATCAAGAAGCATAACGAAACAGGCGAATTCGTCGACAAAAAACGTTCTGGACGGCCACAAAAGCTTGATGAACGTGACTAACGACATTTGAAACGGTTTGTCAAAGGCGAAAATCGACTCTCGGTCAGCAAGATCACGAGAGATTTGAATCAATCTCTATCTGAATCCATCACCTCACGAACAGTCTTCAATTATCTGAAGACATTAGGTTACGAATACAAGGTGAAACTGAAGAAACAGTGGCTCAGTACAAAGCATCGTGAACAATGAGTGGCCTGGTGTAAGCAACATGCTCATTTCAGTATGGACGATTGGCGAAACGTGGTTTTCTCTGACGAGTCACCGTTTTATGTGCTTGAAAGAAAGCATCAAGTGAAAATATGGCGAACTGACGAAGAACGGCTTCATCCGGATTGCATTCAACAAGTGAATACAGGTAGGGGAGGAAAACTGGGCATATGGGGAGCCATTTCGGCCCAAGGACCAACTGAAGCAAGAATTTTCGATGAAAATATGGATGGACGAATCTACTGTGATATCTTGAGTGGCGAGTTGAAACGATCAATGGCGAAACTCTACGGCAAGGGCAAAATAATTTATCAACAAGATCTGACGCCGTGGCATACATCCAACATAGTGAAGGCGAAAATGAAGAAAATGAAACTCAAAGTTTTGGATTGGCCTACGAAGAGTCCTGACCTTAATCCCATTGAATTAGTTTGGAGTATTCTCGATAACAAATTGATGGCCACGCCTATTTACAATAAGGCAACCCTTCGTCAATGGCTCGAAGAGGAATGGAAGAGTCTTGGTATTGAATTATGTCGTAGTCTGGTTGACTCAATGGCGGAAAGGTTGGAAAAGTGTTTGCGGGCGAAAGGTGGACATTTCAATTAGTTTTCAATGTTTTTTCTTTTGAAAAAAAGTAGATGATTTTTTTTGTTCTTAAACTTTTTTCTGCTGGTGAAAAAATAAACTATTTATTGTGAAATAAGAACAAAGACTTTTGTAGTGTTCTCATATGCCCTGAGTAGCTATGTATCATTGCTACCTATAACAAGTATTAGGGTGCCAATAGGCTTCATCTTGATAGAGCATGAGAATAAAAACTCTTGTTCTTAAACTTTTTTCCGCCACTTTACATATCATTGAGAGTATTTGGATAAGTTAGATGCTCATCGCTTGACATTTTTGACAAATATTGTTTTTTCTTCTATCTAGTTTAAATTTTAACCAAGAAAAAGGAGGGACAGTTTTTTTTACTTCAATACAATTATCACCAAGTATCTTTCCTTTCATTTTAGATTCACTCTATCGCATCCCATCCAACTTAAATCTGGTAAGTTGTTTATTTTTGTTTTTCTTATTCTAATCGAGTTAGTTGCAAGTACAAGGAAAAGAGAAGGGCTCCGCTACGGTAAATAGTGGGTTATTGAGATATTAAACATTCGTCAAGGATGATTCTAGGTCGTTCTTGGTCACATGTGCACACGTGTACAGAATAAAAATAAAAATGCGATTGCAACCAAATCAGGTGTATAGTGAAGCTAAAAAAAGTATTCGTTTAGTTTTTTATGTATCTGGGGCTATGTTGAATTTTTGGACTCGGTGATTATCGTAATCGGCGACATAGAGACTGCCCTGTGGATCAAATGACAATCCGATGGGGTGATTGAGTTCATTGGATTCTCCTCCTCGACCGTTTCCTCCAACAACGACGCTTCCATGGCAGGCCCCTTTTGGCCAACGCATGATTCGATTATTGTTCCGATCAGCAACATAAACAGTGCCCAATTTATCGACAATCACTCCTCGAGGAGCTGATAGTTGTGCAAGACCATTTCCGCTTCCTTGACCACCAGCCACGACAACGCCTTGTGTTGCACCTTGCATCCATTTCATCACACGATGATTTCCATGATCAGACACGTAGACTGACTGATCTCCATCGACAAATATGTAATAAGGGTAACAGAGTTGATCCAGACGATTTCCTGGTCCCTTCCCACCAGCAACTATGGTTCCTTGAGATTCTCCCCTTTGATATCGTCTGACTTCATGTTTATTGCTGTCGACGATATACAGAGACCCATTTTCGTCCATAGTCAAACCCACACAACTTATATTCGATATAATTGTTATCCCAGTATCTTCGTTGCATCGAGACCATCGAACTATTCGTTTATTTTCATTGTCAGCTATGATTAGACTATCGGTCTGCTTGTCGACGATCACATCTAGTGGGTGATTCAATTGGTCAGCCCCACTGCCTGCTCCATTCCCACCAGCAACGACTTGGCCATTTCTTGTACCCGATTCCCATTTAATAATTCGATGATTAAATTGATCAGCCACATAGATACTGTTCCGATCATTATCGATAAATAAACCCCATGGGAATCTGAGCTGATTGGTTAGATCACCCCATCCATTTCCTCCAACAATAGTGATACCGTTTTGTTCCCAACTGGCAATTGGATCAATGCCGATAGAACTTCCTCGGACTGGAACGAATGCTAAAAAATGTTTAGTATGTTCAGATTATTGAAGTCTGATGAGGTTTATCTTTGAAAGTTGAATTCACTGGCAATGGTTTTTTTTTTATCACCAGTAGTTTTTCATACGTTGGGAGAAACAGAAATTCTTGCCATGAAAATCTTTGTTTTCTTCTGTTTACAACGTTTTCATGAACATCGCCGATACACATGACGATATGAGTGAGTGGGGATGTGGATGTAACACTTTGTGAAAAAATGATCCTAAAGTACAGCCACACTCTGAACAATCTTTGAGGTTACTTTTGTTTGAGGAAGTATCATAAACGAGGTGAGATGTTTGGCAGTAATGAACATTGACCACTCACGAATACATCCTCGAAAGGGCGAATGCCTCTTTCCTCGGTGGACAGAGAAGTTTTACTACACAGAGCCAAATAAAGATAATAATGATACTTCTCCAGTCAAACTGCGTTGCCAAAGACCGTAAGTGCAATTACTTGGGCTGAAATAGTGGTTTATACTTGATCACATGTGATATTTCTCAACTTATGAAAGACATTTAGTCGAAACAACAAAAGTTCATTCAAATTTATTAGCATTTAATCGCAACCGAAACACCTAATCCATCCTTTCCTTGTTAAACTAAACTCATTGTTGATATCAAAGTGTTCGGGATACAATTTAATATAAACAAAGAAGATCATTAAGAGATTCTGCCATTAGAAAACTAGTCTATCAGATGATATAGCTCGGAGACATAGAGTTGTTTCAAAAATTTACTCGATCAATAACTAACGAATCATTAGCGTTCTGACTTAATTTTTCAAACGCAACCAGTAGTGTGCTGTTGCTAATGCATTTGAGACACGTTGTATTGAATTTAAGTTATCACGCAAAAAATGAAAACTATCTAAACATAATTCTTGCTATTTTTATTGCCGTTCTTCAGTACCTGTGTTCACTTAGCTACAATATAAAGGTGTTCACTTAAAAATCTTTTGAATAATCGAAATGAAATGCATCGGTTTTGAATTATGGTAGTACAAATTCCGAGTCTTCTGATAATAGAACCAAAATTTACACTTAAGATGCGACCTGAGAACTTCTATTCAAGCAAGACAGACGAATAGGTATTCATGAAGTTATACTGCGAAGGCAGCTGCTAACCGTGAGTGGTGCTCCTGAGGGACGTCAACGAGTAACTAACGGCTGCAAAGAACGATTGTAAGAAGTCAATTTTTCCTTCCATGTCCGTGGCACCAAAGGTCCCATTAAAGAGTGTGAAACTAAGATTGAATCAGTTACCATGAAGGTAAAAGAAAATTTTTGCGTAGATGCAAAACTGCAGAAAATGGATTTACCACAATAAGAGAGTTTGGTATGGTTTCATTTCTATTCTCTTTATGTTTCTCTCATATTATTAAACTCAGCTATCAGCAAGACAGCAACATGATGCTATGACCATAGAACGGAACAAAAGAATAATCCCCATTCACATGAAATCGAACCATGTATCTCCTGCTTTTCGGGCAGACGTATTAACCACTGTACTAGAAAGCAGTACTCATCATTCGTTTTGTTCAGTCTTATGTTCGAAGGAGAACACTTCGGACATAACAGAGGTTTTGAAATCAAAGATCGGCAAATTCTAGGACACAAGAAGGATACGTCTTTGAAAAATTTGATATTAAAATGATGGTTTCATGATTATAACAGTAGAAGTTTAGGAAATTGCACCGGTACGACACAGCTTGTAACTGTGAGTGGCTGCTTTGAGTGGTGCGTGAATCAAACGCCCTAATGTTTTGAGTGTACTTGTGAAAATAGCAAGGAGTATAGGTCTAAGAGAGTTTTTCACAGGAGGGAATTGAAGAGTATTAATTGTTTCAATTGGTAGAAAATTGTGTTTTACGCGGACGTGGATGCATGACTCTTCAAAACAAATATTTACAACCACATTCACATCGTCATGAGGAAGTTTATCGTGCGGGAAAAAAATAAGGTAACCTGCTGAAAGATTTTATTCCGATAATATTTATCCACAAAATGTATAGTAACGATTTAAAATACTCCTAAAGTAAAATTGAGCATTAGCCATGTGGTTCTCCAAGATTTCGTAGTTTTTTCTATGATAATTTATAACGTTTCGACTTTGCTTTGAAAATCATAGATTTTGTAGATTTCTTTATATTTCGGAAAAGCATTTTTGTTTTCATAGCGTTCAAGAACACTGATTTAAGTTTTGTAAAAGTTCTGAAACTCTCGAGTTTTCGCAACTCAATACCAAATGATTTTAATGTATGCACAAATATAGATGAATGTTTAGTCTAGCGCCAAGCGAGTCGTGCTGTTGTGCGTTAGGCATTATTTCTTAGAAACAAAGACATAAATGTTCAGTAAAATGTTGGTTTCTGTCTACATATGTAGATTCGTGTAATATGATAACATGAAACAAAATTTTATTTTTTGATCAGAATTCAAATCGAAATTCATGTATGAAAATGGAATCTGAACAGAATTCCTGATTCATCTTATCAGTGTAATATGACGCAACGTTGAGATAACGGGAAACACGTACGATGCAGAATACAGCAGTGGCCAGATTTTCGAAAAAAGAAATTTAAGAAAAGACCGAAAATCCAACTGTCATTCTGACAGTAATACACAAACATTCGATATATACTTGTGAGATCAGAATACCCAAGCACAAGAGTATCTTCAGTGAATTCAGTGATTACTAGGAATTTACCGAAACTTCTGTATCGTTTCGGTTTATACTATATGGGTATAATTCTATTGCACGTACACTACTGACAACCCTACTTTTGTGAAATAAGAAAATTTTCAGAAATTTCCAAAATTGTTTAGAAATGTCTCTAATTATCTGGTAATTTCCGAAATTATTAACAGCGCCCTCGTTTCTACGGGGTAGGGTTCTCAGCAATATAACTGTATTATCGTTATCCCTATTGAGT